ATGTTATTAGATATGTTTACTTCATTTATACGAACGAACATCAATTTGCAGAGGTGAACATCAATTCGTAGGGCTTCGTGATATCACCAATACGCATAAATGGTAAAAGCATAACACGTTTGGGACTGATAAATTCATTAGGAATGCACAATACATCCGCCTCTCTTCACGTTTTCGTGGAATTGGATGCACATTTACGCTATACGTGGTCTACTGATCTATCAAATTAGTATGTTTATCCTTGCTGACTAGCATGGCAACAATTTGTCGACTTCATATGGATGGAGTGATTGGTTAGCCCAGAGCGATGAACCACACCAAGAACCATGCTTGTACCACATTCTCTGGATACTGTCCTACAATAACCCTTGGAATTGGTTTATCGTTCCAGAATGATATAAGTGTTTCGATTAAGGCATATTGTTGTCTTAATAGACTAAGACTTAAAAATTTCCCAAAAACCATATTTGTGTAGATAGACTGTTAATTGTTATGTAACACATGTACATGTTTACCGTAAACATTTTTCTTGATCCGAGCACTGCTACTCTCAAACACTTTTCCGCCGTCGTTGACTAGTTAATTTAAAAAGAACGAATTCCGTATAACCTATAAAGGTGTTCGGCGGTCAACCTATAAAAAGATCACTCCTTCCACAATATGACTAAACAAATGACTTCTATGAAGGTTACGTTGTTCCGCAGAAATTGGCGGTGACGCCTAATTTCATCTCGCTAAGGACTTGTTAGTTTCTCGACAAATGACAGTTATTTTCTGATAACTGTAGGAGTTTGAGGTTCAGAACATTGTAGTATTATAGAAAAGACTTGTAGCTGTAATAGTATGCATATTGTGTACCGTACCATTTACCACATGCTACAATGGTCGACCACAGCTGTCAGAACTTGAAATTATTTTACAACCGATGTTGTGTTTATCCCTGTATTTTACTTCTGTATTTTTCCATTCTTGCCCATTCCAAAAGACAATTACTATATGACTCATCATAAAGACTGAAACCAAAATAACATTCAATTCAATTGTATCACCTCCGCCAGCTGTCGTCCCGCTGATCGTCGATCGACTCGAGCCTGCTCCAGTAAACCTTCCATTTCTCCCTGCTGCATGCAAGAGTAGCTCAAAAGGTTCTGGGAATGAGACATACAAACAAATCCGTTCCTGGTGGACATCGTTTTTGCGAGATTTAGTCGAAGACCAATCCGCCTTCTTCAAAGTCGGCAGGCATTCGTTCCGTCTGACTAATCGGTATTATAGGAACAATGTCATCATCAAAACGAAGATGGTTTAATAATCAAGCATTGATTTTCTCTCCCATGTTGTCCCATTTCAGTGTTCGCGTGACGTTAAGAAGTGTGGCAATGAAGAATTTTTCCATGGTATCGTATTGCTGAACCACTCTATCGTATTGCTGGGCGATGTTTGCCGATATCGTGGAGGTCATCCTTCCTGAACAATAACACAGCCTCGTTGGTCTTCCGTTGAATAGGAACCCTGAATTCTGACAAACAGTGCGTAAAGAGCCGAGTCAGTGTACTGATGAGAATTGGCGAAAGGTTCTTCAGATGTTCAGGTTTTACCCTGTCCGAACCTCGTGTCGTTCAATTCGAAACATCATATCGGATTTTACATGGGAGAATCCGTTGGATAGCATATCAGAGCTCCTTTATTTCGTAAGAGGATAAGATTTGAGTGATAAACGTGGATGGTTTTCTACAATGCCTTTCTGGAAGCTGTAACTGTTCCGTACTAGTATCAGAGTGCAACCATCTTAGTTTTGTAAGTGGCGAAGTTTCCGTGGGTTTTGCAAATGCTTTTCCCTGCCTCTGCAGTTTTGACTGTAACTGTTGCTCTTCTCACTTTAACATCTTCTTCAAATGCTTGTCTACATTGTTTTGCAAGTTCGGACGTGAGTTCACGGTAGCCTTACAGCTCGTGCGATTCCACACTGGCGCAGCACGTCGAATGTTTCTGGAGGCAGACGTATTTTAGTGACTTTCGAATTCTCAGTTTTTGTAACGATAAGAAATTGAATGAGCCTATCGTATTCCTCGTCGATATTATTAGGAACAGCACCTTCACAACAGCAGACTAATGAACTGGATAAATTTCAGGTGATAGTGGATTTGGGACTTCATTTTCTAAGTTTAGCGGGTTTTCCTCTTTTCGCGAGAAATGAAATCTAGCACGAAGAAGGCGATGGTCTAATCCCTGTGTGGAACTCTGGGACAACAGTGATAACGGTAAAGCAAAACCTTCGATTTACTATGATGAGGTCTATTTCGTTATGGTACTCTGGAATACTCCACGTCCGGCGTTGAGACTGGGGCTTCTGGAACTGCGAGTTCGAACAGCCGCTCATCCTGATCGTTCCGGATAGTTAAAGCCGGTAGTGGTCCAAACCTCTCCACCTGTATAAGTCCAACTCAGGTTGTTAGTTGTTCGAATGAATCGATGTTCATAGCCAAACTTGTGCTCAAAAGAAGGATAACGCCACCGAATCCTCCACTGTCTCATGGTACGAGGAACAGCTCTTCTCTGGTCCGTCAAGGCGCCCTCGAATGGATGGCATTTTCTCGCCTCAACCAGTCCGATGACGTCGTGCCTTGTCGTTCTTGCCTGCATGACCAACTATCCAGGACTCAGATACAAGTGTACGTGCATCGTAGTTATATATCGTCACTTTAGTTCTTTGCGATTTACGCAATCTAGAATGGCTGTAATTTTAGCAGCCTCTTTGTACTCATCCTACCCAACGATCCTGCATCGAGGGCCCTTTCGGGGTCAGGGTAATGAAGCCAATTTAACTTAAGTGCAGTTTCGCTGTATTGACTCGTAGAATACAATCCGCATAAACGATGACACACCCACGAAAGCATGCATGAAGATGTCCACGCACACATAAGGTATGCGCCAACTCCGCGCAGCAGAAACAGGGAACCCTTCCTATATATCCATCTGCGTCTCAGGGAAACATAAGGTTGCTTTAGGTCTGCTATTAACCCACTATCCACCAACTGGGGACGCGCCACGTTGCCTAGTAACTCACCGGCGGGCTGTCCCTTTATGAGGGAAATACGTGATCCATTCAACATTCAATCAGCAGTCGGATTACTAGTCAGTGACCTCCTCCGGAAAAATTTCTGCACATTTACAAGTGCAGATTAGGCCTTTTTTCCGGTTTGCCCAATAATATTTTAGATAAGCTCTCAACAGTTACAAAAAATGCCATAGGAAGCCCGATGCGGCAAAATAAATTTCCGAAGAGGAAATGCATCCTGTAGGATGTAGGTCGTCGCCAATGCATTGAAAAATAGTTTCCTCAACTGTGCCATTACGTCCAAATCTGAACTGAAAATTTTACTAATAAGCGTGAGGTTTAGGTGCGTTTACATTCGATTGAGAAGTTTACTGCTTGTAAAGACGCCTAGAAAACTCACACATTCAGTTATTTTTTTGATATTTTAATGATTTAACAGTTTCTCGGTCAGAATATTCCATTCTAATCAATGTACCGATGTTCATTCCCAAATTAAAATTGCGAGACTAAATCGTCGGAAGTCGTTAAAGCAACAACTTTAGAAACAATGAGTTTGACCCACCAAGGGACAAAGGACTTTTGAAACACTAAGATCGGGATAACAGATCACCACTAAACACTACCTTGAGCTATATTTAACAAGCAGTCCAATACTTGCATTGCGGAATCAATGACTTTGCATAGTAGTACCGCTTCCATATATAGCCAGCGATTTAAAGGACTCATTATTCTTTTGCAGTCAGTTTTATTGACTTCCTTATTTATTTACAGTATGACCTAATTCAAACATTACATCGATCTCAGTACTTCAATCATTCGGTTTGCTGTACTGGTCCGCCAAACATAAGCTTCAGATTAGTGTGTAGGTTCGGCGGCCACTTTAGAACATTATCTTCCTCATGTATGATGTTGAATTATAGTTGCGTTGATTCTCCCTCTATACCCTTATAGGAAACTTATAGTAAAACTAAATGTGAACATAAGAAACAAAGTTTGAAGCATTCAATTGTTGATCGCTGGATCAATCCTTTGGAGAAGCACCACGCACTCAACAGCACTAGAAGCATCATAAAGGCTATAACGTCCCGAGATTGCTATCCACAATCCTGGGGTAACTTTAATAGAGTGCTCCTAAGTCATAACGACAATGCAGTCTCCAACATTTGTGAACAGCAAGGAGCTTTTCCCAGACTAGCACAGTACCAAACCGTCCATCCAAAACCTATGTTGTGCCTGTTTGGCACGGTGCGGGAATTAAGCAAAGAATATTCATGTTTTTCGTGGCACTTCTAACAACTACACTTTTGCACCCTCGACGTTTTATAACAAACTGCAAATAAGAAGCAGTAATCTATGCTTTTGCTAACAAAAGTGTTCACATGAAGGAATTGTCACTGGAAGCATCTGAGAGAGGTACACCATTTCGCTAATGCTCTCTCCTCTTCCACTCGAAAATTAAACCGTATGCATCTTATAATGGGGGCATAAAGTACTGAAGCCCTACAACTAGTGAAAGGACGACTGAGTGACCCACTAAGAAAAGCAGTGCAGACGATAAGATGACACTACTGGCACTAATAGCTCAAGTAACTCTGTGAACGACGTGAATATACGTTACAGATAGGATAATCGCTGGATCCACTACAAAATTAGATCATTAATCGTTGACTAACTGACTCAATGAATGTGTAGTGTTCGTTCAAATGCTTCACAAGGCAAAATTCACACGATGTGGGAAAAAACTTCGACTGAAAATATGGCATGTTTCAAAAATCAGTAGAGTTTCATGGAAAAAAAATCAGCCCTAAAATTCAACTATACGAATACCGATGTTTCCTTTTAACAAACAAAAAAAACTTTGAAAATGTAGGCAACACATCTACTTAGTTTTCATTAATACTAGTACCAGCCTCATGAATGAATAGAAATTCTAAGTGCCGGTTTAAGACGATCCTATTACTATTACGTTATCCTTGAACGTGTATGCAGGTACGTGCAGATTGAGTGGAGCGGGACCCTGAAAATGATGTCTTAGGAAACACGACTATACAGATAACTAACCGACTAGAAGGAGTCGTTAAATAAAAACCTTTCTGATACGACCGGAAGCGTCGTAGTGTGAACCGTGACAGGGGCAAAAGTATCCTCCAAAATCACCAGCGTTCGCTAGGAATGAATATATTCAGAATATGTTCCAAATCAGGAAAGAATTGAGGAAATCTTAAAAAAAAGTACCGATGGGCACACAGCCAAGATGAGTACAGACACCAATGACGATGGACCACTCGGGCTTTTTCACACGTTCGTCATCATGTTCAGGATGACGTAACTCTGATAAGTTAACAGCTTTCTCCCTGGAACCAACTCAGAATATTCTCAGGAGAAAAATGAATGCTGAAAAAGCTCTCGGCACTGACCAATCCCTGAGAGATGCACTATTCATTCGACTTCGTCAAACATGTTCGAGGCGACTGAATGCATATGTGGTCTTTATAATGACTCGCGGTGGTTTAGCGATGTAATGAGCCAGGGCTGCTATCCTCCCAGAAAAGTCTGGTACCAATTTGCCAACCCCGAGGGGATGGAAAGCTTGGTTGGTCAGAGGTTCGGGAACCGAACCCATGTGTATTGTAGAGCGCCATCGAACACTGCGCTACACGCACGAGGAAAAATATATAATGGAATTAAAGAGCAATACGACAAAAGTCTCCTTAAAACAGCGCACCTCGCAACCTCCTTCTTTGTTCGGTGTTTAACGAAGACAGGTTTTCCACGCCATTCGTAGGTTTTCGTTGACCCTTCAGGAATATCGTTCATGTTCACCTCAATGGAGGCCAAAGCACGTTGATCAGCAGCCATAGCCTAAAGCACATCCTTTGCTTTTAAAACACATTGAAAACTAGTAACATTGACGCAAATGTTAGGAAGGCTATAATAAGTCGGAAGCAGTTTATATTACCTTGAAAATGACAAGCGTTTGAACGACTTCCTTTCCAGCCCATAGCGACATCATACCTCCAGCTATAACCAGTTATAACTACTTTTGAAAATTTGTATTCCAACAGTTGAATGTGTTTTTTGAACAGATCTATTAAGAATGATTGGTAAAGATACACACCTCCGTAGTACACAGCGTGAGCGAGCGAACGGCGTTGGTCTTCCGTTTCACGAGCAGCTTTCTCTGTATCTAGAGTTATTTCTCTACGATAGCTTGACATGTCCGGAAATTGAACATCAGTGTGAGCAAGACGTCGAGATGATACTGAACATGAAATGTACAGTGACAGTGCTTCTCAAACAATTCAAACGCTGTCAATACTTTTGAGAGGGACTACATTTAAAGAGAGCAGAAGGTGAAAGGTCTGGAAAGAAGTGAACATTCAATCGGAAAACCCCCAATGCAGTGCGTATTCATAGACACTCACCGTTTATTCCCTTGAAGGCAAAATTAGAAGAAAATAGCCCTTTGTGATTACTGCAGAGAGCTGCTCTTGCTTGCATGGAGTCCGCATTCTTGAACTCAGTTACAACGTCCTTGATTGGATGGACCTTAATTGGTTGAGTCAAATTAGAAAATCACGATAGAAATAGATTACCCTGTATCCCATGGCCTCACCCTTAGTAGTTTTCCTTAAAAAGTGATAGGAGCGCCAAAGAACTATAAATAGGAAAAATATTACCGTTAAGAGCCCTAACCATAAGCAGTCACCAAATAGGGCAAGTAACGGAACGCATGAAAACAACGGAAGAAATTAAGTGAATAACGTAATGGTCTCCAAGCCCAAATAAAATATGCAGTGCAAAAAATAAGAACAACTAGCTCTTGAGAATTCTTATCACAGAAAAGTGATAAAAGGATAAAGCTCTCGGCGTTGATCAATCACTGAGGGATGCGTCAGGCATTCGACTTCACTGAGGATCGTTGGAGGTTACTGAATGCATATTTGACCTCTATAATGACTCACGGTGGCCTAACGATGTATCCAACCAGTGCTGGTAACCTCGAAGACGAGTTTGGTACCAATTTGCAGACCTCGAAAGGATGGAAGGCTTGGTGGGCCACGGGCGCGGGGATCGATCTCCTGTGTGTGTTGCACGGCGCTTCCGACAACTACGCCACTTCATCACAGAGAGATTCAAAATAGTTGTCTGCTTGTAGATTTAAAAACGGTAATATGTTTTAAAAAAGAAACACCCCTAAATACTACAAAAATACGAATGATGGAAAAAAGAGGAAGTAGAATTTAAGGAAAGATGCATAAAAGATCACCTCAGATGCTGGTGCAGAGATTTTAAAGCTAATGTGTTGTTGCGACCCACAAATCTGAAAAATACACTATTCTAAAAAGCAACATAAGGCTAAACCTCCCAATGGTTTGCCGCGTCATCATGGCTGGGAGGCGTTTCTGGGTGTCGGGCTGCGATATAAAGCGGAGGGATTCGTCTCCCATCAGGGTCTCCTAATATGAGAAAGAGCCCGGCGTTTCCATCACGAAGCCCAGCTAAGAATAAACCAATACTAGGATCTACGACTGTCCTGGTACCAAACTAATCGCATCGTAACAAATCTCCCGCTGATCCACAAGCGTGGCAATCGCCTGTAGTGGTGAAGATCTGTAGCAGACTTCGGCCAGGCTGTACTCGGGATCCCAGGGAACCACAATGGCTTAACCAGCAAATCTCCGAAGAATGAAGATTAAGCTGGGGCTCACACAACCAGTTAAGACGGGCCATTCAAGTGTCAAGTATCAAGTAATATATAAGGCTACATAACAATTTCCTGAAGATATGCTCATACCACTTTCGTTGCCACTTTTCCCGAACGAGCAATTGTTGCCATTTATTCAAGGGCTTGGGATTTCAAGATGGACCCTAAAAACAGCGACTGTAGTTCGAAAACGGGAAGGAAATCTCTGCAAGAGAAAATTCGAAGAAAGAAACAGGCGGAAAAGAGAAGAGAAAAAAGAAAAAGAGAAGAGAAAAAAGAAGAAGAGAGAGAGACATGAATGAAAAGAGAATCAAAAGAAAGAATCCTTGGATGATCTGATGATGAATGCACCGTCATAAACGACCATGCTTTTCACTAATATCGATCGGGTTTACGAAAAATACTTACAAGTAACGATCCCCGATTACTGTGGAGTACCGGAATAGTTAAGTGGTAAGGAAGCATTTAAGAAAGTAGGGTATTTACTGCTGAAAACATAAATCCTGCTGATTTCATACCGAGGCGTAGTGAAATGAATGTGACGGGCGGTTGCGGTGCTACGTTGCCGGATCAGGGACAGGATAACTCGTCCGTGATCGTCCGTGGACGACTTGCCTTGGGTTAACATACGGCGTGGGATGAAGCATATGTTCGCATCGTGGGGAGCATCACACAGCATGAACGCCGATCACTACAGCTGTACAACGGGATCAGTCCTGGCAGTGCCGTCAGAGAACTGGGACCGCTCTGCTTACTACTTTTCCATTACTTGTGATTCGCGGAGCTGTTTGGGCCAACGGCGTCCTGTCTTACTGAGCAATGGATCGATGCTACTAAAGAAGAAATCATGGTTAGCCGTTTATTCGATTATTTTTTGAGTTGGCCTTCTTATTCTTCAAAAATCCGTTCCCTGGTGTCTCAAGAAATCCCAGTGCATAGGCGTTTCCAGGTCATCATCTCTAATAGTCGTATGTCCTTGTTTAACGGAGCAAGCTTAGCCTACATATTAGGCTTAGGTAAGAGCCGTGGTTTCTTCTGCTACATTTTTGACCTACGTCAGTGTTTTGGGTGATCCTTCTCTCATGGCCGTGACGTTTCCAAGTGTTGAAGTCCACTTATACGTGGTGATTTGACACCAACTAGAACGTAACACCCATTGGAGACTTTGAACCACTGTGAGGTTGGCTACTTTTCCCTTATTTTATACGACCCGTCTTCATGTCTACCGTGCGGATCTCAGCAGTTCTCATATTCGACTCGTTACCTCGCATCCATCATCCAATTTTTACGCAAGGCTTCGACTGCTGGTTGAGGATTTCCATTTCATCTTAAACGCGGTAGAATACTGGTCGACTTGATTCTCCCTGGAGTCCTGGGATAAGTGGGAACCTGGCTAACGCGTTCCCAATTGGATTACAAAGAATTTTTTCCCGGACGATGCCGGTACCATTCTCCCGACCTAGGAGAGATTGAGGGCTTGGTGGGCCTGGGACAGTATCGAACTAGTACCGTTGTTGTGTTAATCGGCATCGCCACCATACCATCATTCAATCCTGCCCTGAGGTTATGTATGTTGTCTGAAAATCTCGTTCTAGAATTCTCCAACTGTTGGTCGTTTCTTAGGGCGGTTTACTTGTTGAAACGAATCTGAACAGTTTTTTGAATATGGTTTGAGCTGTTCGCTTTCCTTAAAAAAGGTGCAGTGTCACACATGTGGTTTATTGGAAGGTTTTTTTTGAATCGGAACTTCTTTTGTATGGGATATCTCTGTTAGTTTAAGTACAACAACTTTTATGCTCTAAAAAGCCCATCGTTATCTTTTTTCATATTTGGGTCTTAAACAATAGTGTCATTGTTGTCGTAGCTTTTTCAAGCCCTCCAACTAAGCTTTTTTCTAGGAGCTACACTTAGCACACTAAATCTTTCGACCTTCTTCGTTACTTCTACTATAGAAGGGGCGCGTGTAGCGCAGTGATTGGAAGTCGCCCTGCAATAAACACGGGGTCGATCCTCGCGGCCCAGGCTCGCCAAGCCTTCCATCCCTCTGAGGTCGGCAAATTGATACCAGACTTCTCTGGGAAGATAGCAGTACTGGTTCGATACATTGGTAGGCCACCGCGAGTCATTGTAAAGCAATACATGCATTCAATCACTTCCTACGATGCGTAGTGAAGTCGAATGCATGGCGCATCCCTCAGGGATTGATCAACGTCGAGAGCTTTGTCCTTTTACGAAATACGGTGAAAATGAAGTGAAAACGAGACATCGATGGGCCGATCAGGGAAGAGTTGATGGCGGACAATATGAGCAGCAGAGTAGTATCAAGGGCTTAGTGTTCCTTCCTATAACGTAAAGGTTTCAAGGTTTAAAGGTACCAAAGGCTGGTTTTGTACCTGGACTGAGTTAATTTTTAAACTCGGTTATATGTATGGTTAACTGAAAGTTCGACTCATGGTTTGCCGATTCGAAATGCAAGTGTGAGAGAACGATACTGTATGAAATGTTTGTTAGGAGCTTTGAGCAGTTGTTAGCACTTTGATCTAATCTTCATGAGATGCTAGTTTTGAAAGCGAGTGACAACTGACTTTTTTGAGGTTGCCATTGCTTTTAAAAGGGTTAAAATTCTAGAGTTTAGTACAATAATGCTCGATCTACCAGATTGTTTAATAACTGTATCCACTTGACAGAGATTCCTCTTACTCATTTGCCAATGCCTATTCTCGTTCTAGCATTGTTTTTTCAAATCTTTGTGCAACTTCGGTGTTTTTTAGATGGGAGGAAAGCGTGGGCGTCCCGTAAATGACCAACAGGATCGGGTTCGTACACATCTCTTCTTCTCTAAGCAAACGGTGCGACAGCATCAAAAACGGAAGCGCAGGGCACATAGTGAGTAATATACTATGTTTTTATATTCTAATGCTCTTAAGATTTTATTTTCCGAACTATAGAGAGGGCTATGGAGACCTCTTTCTCGTTTTAGTGAACAGTATGATACTGCGTCCAGCACTTTAGCACTTATTGTGTGTTGTACTGTATGCTAACATTACCATTACATATGAAACCACTTGGCTTAAGCTATGGTTGCTCTTTCTTAGCAAAGCATTTCTGTAAAAGGATAAAGCTCTCGGCGTTGATCAATCCAAGAGGGGTGGGCCATGTATGCGACTTCATTAACCATCGTTGAAGGTGATTTAATGCATATCTGGCCTTCTCAATGGCTCGCAGTGGCCTATCAATGTATCTATCCAGTACAGCAGTCCTTCCAGACAAGTCTGGAACCAATTTGTCGACTCCGGAGAGATGGAAGGCTTGGTGATCGTTTGGCGCGGGGATCAACCACGTGTATGTTGCATGGAGCCTTCGACCACTGCTCTACACGCAACTAATTTCTGTAGTGTGCAATTTTTCTGTATTGTAGTGTCTTTGTCTCTATAAATTGAATGTCTAGACTGTTTCTGGGAGGTTTGTATGGTCTAGGGTTTCAATTTGTCTCCCATTTCTTTCCATTTATTTTAAAGCCTCATCATTCTGTCGACGAAGACGTCCTGTGCAATCAATCTTATGTCACCGAACCTGGGAGATACTGCACTTCGTTATCCCGTTCAGTTAACACCTAAAATGAAAACGTGGTTTATCGCCAACCGCTGGTAATCCTTAGATAGCTAGGATCTCTTAAGAATTGAAATGTATTTGGTTATTGAGATTTTATACTACGTTTTGGAATTAAGATTTTCAAAAGATTGGAAACCAAACTTAAGTTTTAAAACTCCAAACAAAAACTGAGAAGGGATAAGCATAGAAAAGCCGTTGGAGGAGGTCATCTTATTTTTATGGGTAAGTTACTGCTTGTTAAATTGTATTGGTTTTCGAAATATGAGTCTTGACCAAAAAAAGTGTATAAAATGCGTCTACTGGATTCCGGAAGATCAGAATTTTACCGTGCTTAAAAAGAGAGTTTTACTCTGTAACCAGGTATTCATAGGTTCTAATGTTTCATGCCAGACAGATCTGGTGCCAATCTGCCGTGCCCAGAGAGATGGAAGGCTTAGTGAGCCTGTGATGTGGGTAATGAATTTAGTGTGAATATGACAATGAATTGCTTTGAGCTGGGATATGTTGGCTCATGGTTCAAAGTGGATGTTATTTTTTGCACTATGTGAGTGGAGATCAACTCACATTCGATCTTAAGTGTGGTGCTTCTGCCGTTATTCTCTTTATAACAATTCTACAGCCTATGATGATGCTAGCCAAAAATCATATGGTATTAGTATAACACTCGATCTTTCTCTTATCTGTTAGAGACTCCTACTAAATTTATAAATTTAGAGTGAAAAAGGCAATAATTGTAGAAAGTACTAATAAGAAGCGGTTGACTATCTTCTTCACTGGATAACACTGGCGATCGAATATAATTATTAATCTGTAGATAGAAAGCTAGTTGAGGCAAAGGCAAAGCGAAGGACCAGCATGGTGTGGTGGTGGAAACGTTAGCTCCAGAAAGGGCAATAGCAGGATCGATCTCTAGGGCAGACACTTGCTCTCCGGAGTGCAAATATCTCAGCATCATTATCGTTATATTTCACATAATACCCTGCCGTGAAGAATTCTAATAGACAGTAAGTAAAAAAGTTGATACTGGGAATATTATTGAAGAAGTTTTTAGTTTTCCAGTGGCGAAGATTTGTAAATCAGATGGATGGAAAACTTCAAGATGTGTGTGTGGTTCAGTTTACATAAGTTGAGCGCATAGTTTACAAAGTTTAAATAGTCTGTTAACTCCTAAGACTTAACGTTCTGTTCGTGACTGTTTAGTGGTGGGAAAATTGTATGTGTTAAAAAATGCAAAATTTAGCTCAAGTGTATTTTCACAAACCTTTATATCTCAATTTCAGACAGACTCCATCAAGTTACGCATAAGAAAGATGAGATAATCCAAACCGGTGAATTGGATCCATTAGAATGGACTGGTTAGTTTCGAGGGATCCTGGTAAAACATGTTTTCTGAAGGAACGTTTTTTTTTCAGGAAATCAACGAGTGCTTCATTTTGGCCCCATGGCCCAGAGAGATCCATATTTTTATTATTATCCAAAAGGATGGGATGTTCTTTATCCGGCCTACTTTGGATTTTTTCCGTACCGTACGAAGTGAGGACGTTAATTCATGTCTAAGTTCTCATTTAGCTTTTTTGGTTTGCCTAAGTCTCATTATTCTTTTGTAGGAAATTTCGCGGCTCATCCTCAATCGTTTGTATTTGTGCCTTCGGTGTTTTTATGATTCTCGGAGGAAGTTTGATGGCAAGATTTCATATTTTCGTTATGTTTTTGACATATTTAGTTGATGGGACTATTTTCTAGGTTTGTATGGGTTTCTTCTTAATGCACGATTCACCATTTTGGACATGGACAACTGATCGACGGCATCGTCCGCCGCCTATTCAGATAGCAGGACCACTACTCTTCGGTAGTGGGACTGTGCTAGTTTTAGGAGTCATTTTTTATTCACTACTTACCTCCAATGTTAGTGTGGATTGCTAATAATCTCTTATGCATTTCGTTCACACTAGAGTTCATTAGGATCTAAAAATTTGCTTATTTACTTTCATTTACTAGTGGACAACTGTTTTCTTTGTTCTATTGTTATTGCAACTTTTTTAGTTCTTCAAAATGTATTTGCATCATACTAAACGACATGATGAACCTGCAAGGATAACAACAATAACAACAACGCAGGTATAAGATACCTAAACATCTTTTATTCGTTTTGTTTTCTTTATTTTGTCCCACCTCCTAACGGTTTACCGCCTCATCGTGGCTGGCAGGTGTTCCTGGGTGCTGGTCTGCGATGTACAGCGGGGGATTCATCACCCAGTAGGCCTTCCAAAGCTGTGAAGGAGTCCGGCATTTCCATAAGAAACCCCAGCTGATTAGGTGTGAGCAACATAAGGCGAAGCCCAATTTGTTGTCGGTTGCGCTCTGCTTTGAAGTCAAAGCGCCTGGTCTGACACCGATACTGTGGGAATCTTCTTATTTGTCAACAGAATATCTTTGTACTCTTCTCACCAGCGACACTAAGTAGTGAATGTGATTTTGCAAAGGAAAAAAACGTTCGAAAGGCAGTTTTTCCGTACTGTCGACTGTGGGAAGTAGTTTTTTTGGACCTATTTCTAGCACAATCGAGATCAACTGTTTATCCAGAATTTGGATTTTGGTGTCAACAATGCCATTGACTCGAGTAAACTATATAATTTTTTCAGTACCTTCCCGCTGTTTTTGAGAAGGATCCCTATCATCCACTTCCACCACCTGCCTATCCTGTTTTAGAGAATAAGTACGCTCATTCGTCAATTGTTCGACCACATGATGAAATGAAGTTGTATCCGCCAGTGTAAGTTTGAGTTTCTTCTTACTAAAATCCTTCCACTTACTTACTTTTCTTATAGAATTCCGGGTTGTTCAACTTTATCATTGCATCGAAAATCACCAAGTAGTATTTTTGTTGCCAGTCCGTACAACACCTTACGGGCTACAAGTGTCGGAAGGTATGATTTTATTTATACAGTGATTCTGAGTTTGTGCTAGTTCATGTAAGCACCAGTTCCGAATCACGAAACGTTGGCTTTCGGAAACTCATCTTGGTCGGGAATATACTGGAGAGTACTTGTAGGCATCCATTGTTCCGATTTCCTAGTTTAACCGTTTCTTAAATTTTACTGTGACTTTGCTGTATCTTTCTTTTCTGGGCGGTTCCTATATAAGTCCTCTAAAACGTGTAGTCTGTCGCTTTCAGTTTTTAGACTATTCATAGTGTGATTCTGTTTTAAATACTGCGCTGTTTATATTCTAGGCAGGAACCCCAAATCTGAAGTCTGAGATCTGTAAGTTATAGTTAAGCAGTTTAGTGTTTGGGTGCTATGGTAACAAGATACACTACAGCGCTTCCTTTTTCCTCTTCTTCGTAAGTGCTTTTATTGTCCTATAGTTTTTACACTCTTTCGGCCAAAGTATGCGAAATTTATTAAGAAAGTTACTGCCGAGAAATATGGGTAGCTGAACATAGAGCAATACGGGACTGTCGTTTTAAAGACGCAATTAGAAGCATAAGAATCGTTTTTAAAGCTATATGGTGTTGGTCTTTTGGAAAAGGCTATTGTAACGTTTTTCAGAGCAACTAGGGCATTTGTTACTTACTTGGATACTTGGTTGGCTCGTCTTTGCTGGTTGTGCGGACTCTAGCATAATTTCCACCTTTTCGGAGTTTTGCTTGTTTGGCTACTTTGGTTCCCTGGAGTCCCAAAGTTAGCCTTGCCAAAACCTGCCCTAGTTGTCACCACCACAAGCAGTCGCCGCCCTAGGGGATCAGCGGGTATTTTGCCACCATGCGATTAATTTGATACCAGGACGGTAGTGGATACTGGTATTGGTTAACTCTAAGCTAGGCTTCCTGATGGAAACTCCGGACTGAGCTTGGGAGACCATGGTGGTATGATGAATCCCCGCCGTACATCACAGCCCGACACTCAGGAACAGCACTCAGCCACGATGAGGCTATAAACCGTTAGGAGGAGGGCATTTATTACACTGTTATAATTCGGGGTCGTCTAAAATTTTTCGATTTGTGAGAATGAGTTTTCCTTGTTTCAGTACTTCATTGTTTTGTTATTCTTTAATGTCCACTGGGCTGTATTTTTTGATTGAATCTTCTTCTTCTATTTTCCTTTAATTTAGATCTTTTAGGTACCATTCTGGCATGGAACGGCGAATTTCTGTTGTAGATCAAAGAACAGCAGGTTCAACAGTAAGTAGGAAGACGTCGGTGGAAAGCGGAGTCTATAAACGATCGAAAAGTGCCGGTCCATTGTATAGAACATCATCAGCACACAGCTCGACAAGGGCACGTTATAGAGAGAATAGCCAGATTTAACTATCAGGCTTTCTGATTCTATGTTTGCCTTTGCTGGGAACACTCGTTGTAATATTTAATCGGAATAAGCCAGTCGTTTGAGCTCATTGGATATCTTTTTCTTTCAATTACGATGGGGCGGTGAGCTAACATGCTAGTTCATCATCTTTCTCAGAATTGTTCGTTTGATAGTTGCTCAGAAGAAGATGATTTCCTAAATAAGTGCCAATAAAAATTTTATAGGATTACGTGTTACGCTTTTTGAGGTCCTATTGCCGTAAACTATATCTGCGTCGGTAGAGGGATTTCTCCAAGTTGTTCAGAAATGTTGCTAAAATCTTGTTTGGATAGAATCCTACTGATATATTTTCACATTTTCTGCTTACATTTAACACCCCTGTGTTATCTTTCTCCAGGGAGAATTCGGTACTGCTCTCCAATATGTGCTTAAATTGTTGAGTTTACACGAGGTTAATAAAGAGATTCATTTCGGCCAACGTTTCGACGTCTTCCTCTTCATCAGAGCCAATGATGGGAGTCTATGATGGGTCCACAGTTGTTCGTCTTCTCGAAGACGAAAAGTTGTTCTTCGTCTCCTCTCGTCTTTATCCTATATTCGTCTTCGAGAAGAAGAGGAGGGAAGAAGAACGACTTTTCGAGAAGAAGAACTATGGACCACAGACTTAGGCCATCAGCTCTGATGAAGTCGAAGACGTCGAAATACTTGCTGAGGTAGATCTCTTTATCAACCTCGTGTAAGCTCAAGAATTTGAACACATATTGATTATTGGTTGGGGTTCAATGACGGTTAGTTTGAAAATTGTTCTATAATGCTTGAACATTTCTTACTTTTCACAAGATTAACATTAACATTTGCTCTCAGGATGAGATTTTGTTCCTTTTAGCTAAGGATCGCTAAGTACCTGCTAGAACAAATCACTCTTAGTGGTTTGCTTTAATTTGTACTTGATACTTGAACGGCCCGTCCTCATTGGTTGTACGGGTCCTAGCATAATCACCATTTTTCGGACATTTGCTAGTTAAGCCATTGTGGTTCCTTGGGATCCCGAGGTCAGCTTGTCCAAAGTCTCCTCCAGGTCTTCACCACCACAGACAATCGCAGCCGTTGTGGATCAGAGGAGGATTTGCCACCATTCGACTTTAATACCAGGACGGTGGTGGATCCTGGTATTTGTTTACTCTTAGCTAGGCTACTTGATGGAAATGGCGGATTTCTTCTCAGCTTGGAAGACCCTACAGTGGAGACGAATCCTCCCGCTTTACATCGCACTTCGACACCCAAGAACACCTCGTAGCCACGATAAAGCGGTAAACTGTTGGGAGGTTAATTTATGCTAGGCTTAAACGCAATGTATCTATCGTTTTCCCATGGTTGATAGTGTTGAACTACTTATTTGAACCAGTTTCGAACTGTGTAAGCCTTTTTGATCTATCATGTGACTATGTCCTGGCTATGTGTCGATATACTTGTCATTCCTCCATAAAACTAGGTTGTTTTTAGATTTAAAATGGTGCTGAAATACTTGAAAAACTCCGAACTGGAGATCGAATTCGCTATTTCCTTCTCAGGGGCTAGCGCGTTCACCACCACGCCGTGCGGGTTCTTCGTTTCGCCTGTCTCAGCTGTGTTGTTTTGCTAATCCCTACTATATATTGAGCAATAGAATCTTGTTAACATTTTTGAAGTTGTACAATATGTTGTAAAAGTATTGATAGAAGAAGAAGAATAAAAAGTGATAAAATATAGGAGGCTTTGCACTAATTTCTTTGCTTCTGGGTTTGCAGCTAATCGCCTTGAGTTCATCTGTAGTAGCTTTGCTATAACAAAGCTTTCTGTGTGCTGTCAGAAGCTGTTTCGACAGAGACAATAATGTGTCGTTCGCTTTATCCAGACTTTTTCATTCGCCGTTTATGTTACAGTCAGTTTCTCCTTGAACTGCTCTTGGTTTCCTTGAATGTAGTGTTTGTTTGTTGTAGGTGTTTCGTTAGCCCTTTTAAAGAACACTTGGGCCTTTGTTTTATTGCCAAAATTGGGTGTCCTGTGTTTTTGCTTGCTTCCCTTTTGCCTTTTTTAGTTCAACTAGTTAAACATCGACGATGTATGCCTACGAGTAGCGCCTCCTAAACCATCAGAAATGGTCGTAATGTGGTACATGTTGATGTTTGGCTTAACTCTTATGAACTAACCCAATTAGCTGTTTCTTGCTCTTAGTGTTCTCATTGGACACAATGGTGTCTTTATCTGCATACCCTTTTCAACTTCTGCAGTTCAGTTGCTCGTGGTGGTAGTGGTTGTGTTATACCTGTTGTTGGTTATGTATCAGTTCGTCTATGGGTAGCTCAATGCGATGCTTACGACGTTTTCGAAAGAAGAAGTTCGGTTCGTTTACATTTTACCGCTTCTGTTTTGCGAACTATGTTTTCTTTTTTTTTTTCTTACCCTGATGGCTTTCATTGTTTGCTGGTTTTTGGGTGTCTTTGTATTAAGATTCTGTAAAGTTGCAATGGTCGGATTTAGATGAAAATGACATATGGTATGCCAGCTGTTTTTGTTAGATAGAGAATTGTCTCGTTGTAAAATGATGAATCACTCCTACGAGGAGGGAGTTTTATTGTTTTTGAGGCGCGGCTACCCCCATGGGGTGGCGAAGTGCGTTCTATCAACCTCATTTAGTTTCGTAAACTTTTCATGTTTTGTAGTGACTTTCATCGGAGTGAGCTCTACTCATTTTTAGTCCTTACATCTTAACCTTTTAATCATTATTTTAAATACCTTATTGCAAACAGTACTTGATTCTTTTTTGCGAGTTCGATCTCAATATTTTAATGCACCACTTCTCATAAGTTTTCAATTTTTGTAGTATTCAATTGCTCTTTGTATCTTAAACGTTTAACTTGGTATCCATTTGTGTTTGATATGATGTTGACGCAGTTCTTTACAAGTACATTCATAATATTACAATAATTCAGAACTAATCAATGATTACAAGCCGTCATCCATTGTAGCAGAGTTCGCACCAATTGCCCATCCAGAAAGTTTCGTAGAAGATATGGTAGAAGGAAATAGACCAGGCGAACCGACGGTAATATTAGTACAATTGCTTACACCAAATTGGGCTTGACATTGTAGATTTTCTCCTTCATTAGTTCATTATTTTCGGAACCTTTGCTGGATTTTTGAGCTTTTTGTTGCGGTTCTTTTCGATTTTACATTGTTTAGCAGCTTATCTTATGGAAATTGCAGCGCAGTTTTATTTGTATGCTTTTCTCCTAGTTATAGTTTTGCAGTATGGAACCACTGGAGGTGGGTAACGCATGGGTAGTGATGCCGATGATCACGAGCAAGGTGCTGATTCGATCCCATTCCGTGCTCACCAAGCCTCTCATCCCTCCAGAGTAGAGAAATTGGTATAGCACTTGTCTGGGAAAAATTCACACTTTTCAATCTAAGTGGAAACGGCCCGGTTATCTCAAGGACTCCAGGGAGAATCGAGCCGATCAGCATTCAATGACATTGATGATGAAAGGGTAATCCTCAAGCAACAGTAGAAGCCGCGCGTAAAAAGTCGGAAGACCTTTGTGGATGATGGATGGGATGGAACGAATTGAATACGAGAATTGCTGGTATAGGCACAATTTATATGAAAGGAGGGTTTTAAAAAAAATTGGAACCAATTCATTTGTTTCACTGCTTTGTTCAAACATCCAGAAAACTTTTTACAGTTGTGTTGTTCTGTCAGATTGCATATGTTTCAGATTGACTGTATTGTAACCCGCGAAGAAGAAATATCTGCAGAGTCAACAGGTGAAGTTGACAATGTCCTGAAAAGTTTTAAGGAGAAATACCAGTTTTGCTGGTACATATGTATACAGATGCACCATGTTCAGAGCCAATAACGGTGTCTCCAATGGAACCTAGTGGTACAGCAGTCACTTCGCCAGCTCAAATTCCCATTCAACGACGATTTAACTATGTTCCGGTTAACACAGTAAATTTCGCCCTTCCTGAAGGCTATTCAACTTCTCGCGGTGATATCGAGTTTCTTGGTTCGGGTGCTTATGGTAATGTAATGTAAGTATCACCACGTTTCTTTCTTGTGAACCCCATAGTTGGAGTTCTCATTAACTTTTTGAACCACTGATTTAGAAATCGCTTTTCAGCAAAACGATTGTAGAATGCCGAGACGGAGTTGTTCGAGCTGTGGCTGTGAAAAAGTTCAGGGATCCTTTCTGTGACAGTCTCCAGGTTGTTATAAGTATAATTGTTTCATCTTCTTTACCGGAATTATGTTTATGGTTAGCATTTTGTCTAGTATTTTTTTATGCCTCTAAACGGTTTACGGCCTCATCATGGCTGGAAGATGTTCCGGGTGTGTCGGGCTGCGATGTGTAGCGGGCGAGTTCGTCCACCGAGGAGGGTCTCCCAAGCTGTGAAGGAGTCCGCTGTTTCCATCAGGAAATCCAGCTAAAAGCAAACCAATACCAATACGAGGATTCACCACCGCCTTGGTACCAAACTAGTCGCATCGTGGCAAATTTCCCTCTGGTCCACATGGGCGGCGATTACTTGCACTGGTGACGACGTGGGGCAGATTTTGGCCAGGTTGACCTCGGGAGTTCAGGAAATGACAATGACTAGACTAGCAAAACTCCGATAAGTGGAAAATATACTGGATGAAAATACCGCACAACCAGTGAAGACAGGTCGTCAAAATATCCAAGTAAGAGTGGTAATTTCAGGCACGAATGATCTATCGTGAAATTAAGTTATTGCAAATAATGAGACATGATAGTGTGATTCGTGCAATCGATCTTTACACACCGGACAGTGTGGAACACGAATTCAAAGACGTGTCAGTTTCATGTTTTTGCGAATTATTGAAGAAATTGAACTCTCGAACTGTTTTTTCTTTCTTGATGTTTAGTTATGTCGTTACGGAGTTTGCTGGTGATAGTATTGTAAGAATATTGCAAGATCAGAAAGTAACTGGAAGGACTCATATCACTCCCGAGCATGTGCCCTTTATTATCTATCAGCTTCTCAGAGCTTTAAAGTACATACACTCTGCAAATGTAAGTTTTTATTTCTCTATTGGAATTTCGATGATGCACTGTCGGAGGTTCTTTCTCAGATTATTCATAGAGATCTGAAACCTGGAAACATGGCGTTGACCAGTGACAGTGACTTGACAGTGCTGGATTTTGGTATGGCACGATCGTTGAACCGTTCTGAAAGAACTCTAACGCAATACGTTATGACGAGATGGTATCGTAGTCCAGAAGTCATTTATTGGAATATTGATGGCTACAACGAACAAGGCGATTATTTTCAGTATTTGGTTGTCTTTAATGACTTCGACATGTTTTTTCTTTATGATTCTATCACTTTTTAAATAAAGAAGTAAATGTGTATTCATATGGATCATTTTCGTTCTTTACAACTCGTTATTTATAGGTGACATATGTTGTTTATGAGATCTCCCGACCAACCGACTTGTAGTACAATATATTATGTATATCTAATATTTATTAGGCCGTGTGTAGATCAGTGGTCGGAAGCTCCATGCAGTACACATGGGATGGTTGCTTGCGCTTCAAGCCCTCCTAACCTTCCATCCTTCCGGGATCAGCAAATTGGTGCCAAACTTGTCTGGGAAGATAGCAACACTGGTTCAATACATAGATAGGCCACCGCGAGTCATTGTAAAGGCTGGATATGCATTTAATCACCTTCAACGAATGAAGTCGAGCGCATAGAGCATCACTCAGGGATTGGTCAACGCTTACAGCCTTATCTGTTATTTGCTACTTATTGTATTATATGCAGTGTATTATATATACTATACATGGAAGTATATTTTATATAAATTGGTATTTCAGTTGATTTGTGGTCAGTTGGCTGCATAACTGCAGAATTGATGTTTGGAGAACCGCTTTTTCCTGGAGAAGATAGTGAGTCGTCTTGCTAACAATTCCTTAATCAGAGAGAAATATCTAATCCTTTCATATTTATTGTTGCGCATTTCCTACTGTTTTTAGCAAGTGCCCAGTATGAGATGATTACGAAGTTATGTGGAAGTCCTGACGAAGATCTCATGAGGAAGGTAGTAGAAATCGATTTCTATTTCCTAAGCTGACTCTTCTCAATTTTTTCGCAGTACTTGTTTTATTTACTAGGTTACAAAGTAGCATGGTTTATGACCGACATATCACTCATGACACAGTGTTTGGTAGAACACTAGTGATATATGTGTCCATCTTCCAGATTGAGGCAACAAGTCCTGCCACTCGTCGAGTAGTAGAATCTTATAAGCAATATAAGCGGCAAGACTTTCGACAACGCTTCTCTGGGTATCCACCTTTATTTGTGGATTTCCTTGATAAAATCCTTGTACTTGATCCAGAAAAGAGGTACATACAACTTTTTTACTCATGGAAATGTCACAATATTGTTATTGTAATCATTGCCATATATCACAATCTTTCACCTTTAGGCTTACCGTTGAGTCGTCACTTGCACATCCGTACTTCGCCGATTATGTTGATGCTTCAGATGAGCCAGTAGCAACTACTTCATTTGATCTGAATGATAATCCGAGTAGGTCGAAGGACGAGTGGAAAGGTGAACACAGATTCATCATTCTACTTTTTATCGCTTTTTTTTGCTCGGAAGGAAAACTCTTAGAACCAGCAACCACATACTTTAAATAACTTACCTTATCGTTGAAAATTTGGGCGCGTATAGCACAGTGGTCGAAGGCGCCCTGCAATACACATAGAATCGATGCCCGTGCCCAAGGTTTTTACCAAACCTTCCTCCCCTCAGTGGTCGGCAAATTGGTAGCAGACTTGTCTGGGAGGGTAACAGCACTGGCTCGATACATCGGTAGGCCACAGCGAGCTATTGTAAAGGCCAGATGTGCATTAGTCACCTCCCACGATGCTCGATGGAGTCAAATCCAGGACGTATCTCTCAGGCATTGATCAGCTCCAAGGGCTTTATCCTTTATTCTTTTGTCTTTTTGTAGCTGAAAATTAAGAAGCTATAAATCTCTTTAGAATTTCCCCTATTTTTTGCGTTTGCTAAATATTGAGCCTCTTTGTGCAGAGTAACCGTACTTTCATTGAGAGCTTGTTCCATAGTCTTAAGTGTAGTTATCTTTATCCTATAAGGTAGTTTCTTTTTAAATTAACTTTATTGACAAACTTGCTTGAGATTGTTGTAAGACCTGTTTTAGAATTATATAAAAATAGAAAAGGAACAGAGGAAAGCGAAACGAACGACTGGCATGGTGTGGTGGTGAACACGCTAGCCCTCGGAAAGGGTAATAGCGCGTTCGTTCTCCACCGCAGAGACCTGCTGTCCGGAGTTTTGCAAATACCTCAGCATCATTGCGGTTGTATCACACATAATACCATCCCGTGAAAAATTGTAATAGGCAACAAATAAAAACTGGACATTGTTTTTGAGTTGTTTTAGGCATTATATGGCAGGAAATACACAACTTTGTGGGTGATGAGATTTCGCCTAAAATCCCTTCGAATGGAGAGTGTTGATCCAGATCTGATTAATGTCCGTTTCTTATCACTATCACTCTTTCACTAACTGATTCCAGTGTGAATGAAGCACTAGATGCTTTAAGTTATTTTCACTGTCCTTCCGAAGGAGTTGGCATTCTGTGAGACTCATGTGATACACAGTACATGTGATTGGTTTTCATTTCTCTACTAGTCATGTTTTCATGTGAAATCGGTTTATATGTTGTAGAAATCATTTAATACTTGTTGGAAATGGATGGTACGTTTCTTTGTTGGACTGAAAGCACTAAGAGTTTATATTATCATTCTTTTCACAAGTTTTGCTCACATTTGTATCACAAAAGTTTATGGACAGTGCTTGTGAATTCACATAAATATTTCACAGATTTTTTCTTCTTCTCGAACAGGTGTCACCCTGACAGTATTTGACTTGCAGTATTGATATAAGGGAATTTCTATGATAGTGAACATGTAACTGTAACTGTAACTTCCCCACGGTTTTCTGTCTCATCGTGGCTGGGAAGTGTTCCTGGGTGTCGTGCTGCGATGTACAGCGGGGGATTCATCCCACAACGTGATCTCCCAAGCTGAGAGGGAATCCGATGTTTCCATCAGGAAGCTCAACTAGGAGTAACACAATACTAGGATCCATCATCGTCCTGGTGTGAAACTAGTCGCATGTTGGCAAAGCTCCCTTTGATTCACAAAGGCAGCAGCTGCCTGGGTTAGTGACGACCTACGGCAGAGTTTGGCTAGGCTGACTTTTCGTCATTTAGTGAAGTTGTAGGAAATGTATTCAAGTTCATAGAAAGTCGTCCTGGGGATGGTTGGGACTCTGTCATGTTTTTCAGTCATTCTGTCATGTGGAAAGGATCTTCGTTAGTTTAAAAGTGATCTTATGTGAAATCGTAACATTGCCTAAGCTGAGTTCCGTCTTTTGTTTTTTTCTTACATTCAGTATCAAGAAAGGAACGTTGGAACAAGGTAATGCTTCCCGTAAACAAGGAGGATTTATTCCTATAACAGTTATAATAGTTATCGCCCGTGTATTACGTGCGACTGCTATCCATCAACTAACTTAAATACAACAAATAAACGGCTCTGAAGAAGGCGAAACCGTCGAAACGTCAGCTGTTGTATCGCAATAAGTTCTATAATAACAACCTCGTGTCTGCTTATTGAAGAAAAACAAGGAGGCCTTATACTTGACGTAGAGTCTCAGTCGATAGCTTTCATTCCGCCGATTTCCAATGCGCGAGGTTCGCGCTCTTTCAAGATTTTCAAGGCACGAAGGGATGTGCTTCCATGCGAGTGAACAGACGACTAGGAAGGGCATCAAGATGTAGTCGGTCGATAGATGCGTACTACTCGTCTTCGTATGCTGCAGGTATAGAGAATATTGCAAAGGATCCCAGAGAATCCCCTTCTTTTGGATTCCTCGGGAAAGTCCAACATAATCAGGGCACACTTGACCGTCTGTAGGAGGACCTATGTTGTTTTCTTTGACGTTGATCATTTCTACGCTTTTATTAGTGTTAACAATCGCAAAGCAAATTTGCTTAACTACATGGAGTGCCGAAGATGTACGAGTAATAAATCCAGCGGATCCGGACAGTAGAACGTGACCGGAAGGGAGAACTAAATGTCATTTATTTCGTAACCATCTTGTAGACGTGGAAGATCTTGTTGTCTCTAGCACTCCTTTTGTTAAAATAATTTCTTCCTCGGCAGTGAATGGTGATTGTAGGCCAGCGTTTTAGTTCAAATAATCAACTTCGAGACGTATGGATTGGAGTGAACAGTTTTATTTTTACACGGGAGAGCATGGAAGCTTCCCTTTACGAAGCTCATCCACTGGCCATTGAAACCGTTCGAAGGATATGAACTGTCCGCTGCGTAGGACCATAGCTTCTGCTGAACCGGGAGTGTTTTTTGCAAACATCGGACCACCACCGCCAGAACGTCCTCCACCGACAGGATTTCATGAGGCTCGTTGAACATTCTTCTACTTTTTTTCTTTGTTTTCTTAGGCATGAAGAGTTCATCTTCAGGTAGAGTTAAATAAAACAAGATGGGTAATTCCGACAGCATACGATCGATTACGATCTTTGGGGGAAGGTGCGTACGGTGTTGTTTGGTGAGTATATTGCAGTTCCGTTAGCTCTAAGCTGATACCAGTTTCGTAGTAAACTTAAGCGCCATATTGCAGCACGGCTGAGGATTTACGCACAGGTGAAAGAGTAGCGGTGAAAAAGTTTTTTCGGCCATTTCAAAGTACTATACATGCGAAAAGGACCTATAGGTTAGCTACCCTGTCATTATTGATACTTCTTGGACGACTACAATGATACTGAAATATTTGCAAAACTCCGGACAGCAGGTGTCTGCGGTAGGGATCGAACACGCTATTACTCTTTTCGGGTGCTAACGCTTTCACCACCACACCATGCAGGTACTTCGTTTCGCCTTTCTCTCAGCTAATTTTCTATCTACCAGTGCCATTAGCAATCACCCGTCAGCGGGATTGGTCTAGACCCGCATGGTGTGGTGGTTAGCATGATAACTCCCGGAAAGGGTAATAACGTGTTCGATCGCCATCGCAGACACCTGCTGACCGAAGTTTTGCGAACACCTCAGCATCATTGTGGTTGTATTTCGCATAATACCTGTCCGTGAAAAATTATATTAGGCAGTATATAAAAAGCTAACATTGTAGTTTTTTGGGCGCTTTCTACAACAGCAATCCACCAATTTCTTTAAATTTAGAGAGCTTAAGTTACTTCGTTCACTTAAACACAGAAATGTGTTAGAGATGATTGACGTCTTTACACCTGATCCTGATGTGACGACGTTAAATAATGTGTGGGTGAATCTTTCAAATTCTCCCATTCGTGTACGTTATTTGTCTAATATCAATGCTGATTTACAGATATTTTGTCTCGGTGTTGATGGGTTCGGATCTGCAGAATATTCTGAAAATTCAGCGTCTTAAAAATGAACAAATCCAAGCATTGATTTACCAAGTTCTCAGGGGTCTCAAGGTAATTTCACTATCTTTATGTCGTTATCGTCTGTAGACGTTTTATTTAGCAATTTTTATAGTACATCCACTCAGCTGGTATTGTTCATAGGGATTTGAAGCCGTCTAATATAGCTGTAAATGAGTTTGGTGAAGTGAAGGTGTGTTATTCTACGTTCCAAATCTTTACTCTGTCACATTTCTAAGTAACTTGCTTGGTTGAATTTTTGATATGTTTGCATTCTCCAAATCAAAAGCTTATAAACTTGGGAATTATCACTGGCTAAGTAGTGGTGTTATGTTAAAGTTCGGGTACAGTTTATCGGATCTCTTGTAAGGCGTGCGGAGACTAATACATTGATGAAACGGGTGGACCACTCTGCACCCGTATAAGGAAGCACCTAGTCGGTGAACTGAAAGTTGGACCAAATGCCTCATTAGGCGCGCACAGAATACAGAGACATAATGGAGAGTACTTTGAAGTAGAAGCTAACATCCTCGCACAGAAATCGGAAACACCAGCGCGCAAAACTCTCAGAGCATTCCGGATTAATTCCAAGAATCCGATGATGAACCGCAGGGAGGAATGCCTCATAATCACGCGTGATATTGGACAATATTTAAACCTGTTATTTTGATGGGAGAGGAACATTGCGCTTCCATGTGATCTCTGCACAGTTGGTCTTGACGTGAAATATTGAGTGGAAGACTGGTAGAAAGCTTTGAGTGTGAAAAGCTTTTCTGTGTTTAATATGATTGAAATCTTGGTTTAGCATTTTCTATTTTTGGTTATGGAGTTGTTTGGCTGGATAGATTGCTGTCAATTTAACCTTTCAAAGCCCTGAGGAAGCCGAAGTCCGCCAAAACGTCAGCAATAAAGAGTGAAATAACACTTCCTGTTTGCTCAATAGAACTATGAAGAGTTATATGAAATATCGGAAAAAACTGATAGCTGCAGTGAAAATCATTGGCATCGGGAAATGTCTTTTGAAAATCGGAGTTGAAAGTCTAGGATTGTTTAGATTCTCGACTTTGGTCTTGCCAGAATTACCGACCATGAAATGACAGGATATGTTGCAACAAGGTGGTATCGTGCTCCTGAGATTATGCTCAACTGGATGCACTATAAGCAAACAGGTACCTTTTGTTGAGACGTTAGTGCTGTTTTTAAAGCTATCAATATTAAGTTAATATTTGAATGACTTTTATGGCAAGATTTTCGTTAATTTCATTAGTTTGGGAAGCACTTTATTTTAGGTCTAGAATTGTTTGAACTCTTGTGGCTTTCTTCTTTCATAACTTAATGTATTCACTTCGTTTTTTCCTCATGCATTTTTTTCAAATGTTGGTCATTTTTTTTTCAAATGTATTGAGTAAAGGAAAATTGGAAGATGTTCAACTCGCAGCAATAATTACCTTCTTGCTTTTTTCTTATGAATGCTTTTGTACATTTCTTATTCTCTGGACCTACGTTTAGGAGATAAATCTACTAGGCATTTCCAAAGTTAACGTGGAAATCGGACGTTTTTGTGAAAATTCTGCGGTGTTCAGTATGGCAACAAGGTTCTTGCTTCAGGGAAAAACGTTGGTACAAGGGAAAAAAAACAAGCAGTTGGTCTCGACTCCCGCACTTTGGTCGTAATCTTTGGTCCAACATTTTTCTTTTTATCCTCATCCTCACGCTATCACTCTTCTTGCTTCTACTGAAATAGCGAGCACCAAATAGTTTCTGGTCAGATCCCCTCAGAGCAAACAATTTACGGTAAATTTATTAACCATTGATACTAGAACTGTGTTGTAGTTTACAAGTCGTTTTGGAGGCCAAAATCTCATCCGTGTTCTCCACGTTTCAGCTTCATATCCTGAACGATTTTATAAGGAGCGCTAATGTGTTTTCTTTTACCCCTCATTGGTTGATGAAATCTGGCTTTATCCGTTTTTTATCTCTTTACTTGGTTACGGGATTCATCTAGATAGACACAAATTTTGACTTAAAAATTTTTATGAGCGTTGTTTTCAACTTTTTACATTACCGATGTTTCTTAAAATAATCAGTAGTGCTCACATTTCCACAATCACTTGGTCTTTTTCTTATCATGTCTCTTTCCTTTTCTCGAGAATTTACCTAATCTAAGTCAGACATGTTGACACATGAAAACTGGAGTTAAAAGAAAAGTCACCTTGTTTTACATGATTAACCAAACTTAGAAAATATGTATTACTACACTCTAAACATTCCGCTTTATTTTTCTAAATCAATTGCAGCTTTATTTTGGATGTCAGGGTGAACGGACCTACGGCCATGGACTTTTTCTCCGACGTCGCTTGGCCATTTGGCGATTATATATGTCTAACAGGTCATATTTGTAGTCGTGGATTCTAGGAAAATGTTCTGCGTCTTATTCTTTTTCGTACATACATAGACAGTTTTGTGTCACTTTAGTGAATTATCCCTTAAATTATGTGCCCTCCATCTCTCCGGAGTCGGCAAATTGCTACGACTTGTCAGGAAGGATAGTAGCACTGGTTCGATACATCGGTAGGTTACCGCAAGTCATTGTAAAGGCCTGATATGCATTCAATCACCTCCAACGATGATCAATGAAGTCGAATGCATGGCGCATCCCTCAGGGATTGATCAACGCCAAAAGCTTTGTTTTTCATCGTTTGTAGTGTTGTATAAATTGTTGTGAACGAGCTTGTCTCTCTTTTTGTTTAGGAAATTTACCACTGTTTCTGTTTAGAATACTATGGAGCTTCCTTTTAGTAAAGTTTTGATTAGGGCGGGATAGGCCAGTGGTTAGTGATGCGGCGAATAGGAAACAAAGGTGCTAATTCGATCACTCCCTAACACTGTCCTTCAGTCCATGTGAAATGCTTCAAGCTGGATTAGACCAGCATTCTATAACATCCATAAAGAAGACGAAATCCTCTAGCTACACCTGAAAGAACATGCAAAATCGTCTAAGACTTTGTAGACGATGAATGCGAGGAAACGAATCGAATGCGAGAAGTGCTGGGATCCGCACAGGGGATATAATGATGGGTCATGTAAGTAAAGTGAAATACAAAAAATGAAAGTTTTCATTTGCTAATCGTTTATTTTTGCATTAAAAACGAGCTGTAACTGTGTGATTTGAAGCGTCCAGTTGTCCAGAATTGTGTGGATGGCATTTTCAGTCGCATTTCTGTTGTTTCGCTCATATAGAGAGCTGCGTTTTCCTCCGCTACCTCAGCTTTAATGCTTCTATGCACAAACTTGCACTTTAATCATTGGAAGGTTCTCCTCTACTCTTGCTTGGCCGCCTCTTTTATGAGTTTTCTAGGTCTGCTTATTGGGCGTCTGTTATTGCCGACGTATCCTTCTATGTTTTGTGCTGAGAGTAAATGTCAAAACCCTGGTTTATCAAATTTGACGTTTTGTCACTATGATCTTTACGTGATAATAATGCTTAATGTTCTCCAAGATGTTTTTAAATTTGAAGTCTTTTGTTGTTATAACAAATAGCTTTGTACTAAAAGAAGTACTAAGAATATTTAAATGTAGCTTTTTTAAGTTCATACCAAACTACTGCGATATTACGAAGCTTGCTTCTGTTCCAATTCTATTTACTGATTTTTCAGAGGTTTTCCCTTTTTTATCTAAAAGGCTCAATTCTGTTTTTCACTTCCAATTTCAGTTTCCCTCTGAATTTATTCGCTGTTTTGTAGTTGATCTGTGGTCTGTTGGCTGTATCCTGGCAGAATTGGTCTCTGGTAAACCTATGTTTCCAGGCGATGATCGTGAGTACTGCACGAATTTTTCAATCACGATATTTTCATGGTTCTCCAAATTGCATTTGTATTCTTGGCGACTTGCAAAGGAGTAATGAAAAGCACTTTTTGTCTATTTTATTTCAACATCTTCATATTCTCATTTCGATGGCCTTGCTCTATTTGTAGACATTGATCAGCTAACAAGAATTATGGGAGTCGTTGGAACGCCCAGTTACGATTTTCTGTTAAAGATACAATCAGAAGAAGCTCGTAACTACATTAGGTGTGTCTAGTTTTCATCAGTTGTCATCATTTTTGGAAAACAAGAGTGTTTGGAAACTTTTGATTTTTAGAAAATAATAACTCTCAGGAGAGTGATTTGGATGGGCAATCATAACTTCTATCAAATTTTTAAATTGTTAAAAACTCTTGCTTGCTAGGAGATAATATATGTAAATTGGGCAACAAGTACACGCAGTTCTACGGGCCACTCTCAACCATCTCATTATAAGTACATAGAAATCGATTTTTTAAAATTAGTTAACGTGATTGTCTTTTTCCAGATTATAGCACTGATTGTTCTGCGTTCTTCGAATGTTGATGCGGTAGTCAAACTTAGAGATCTTTAAAAAAAAACTACGAGAAGTAACGTAGTGTTTGGTCCATGTCGTGGATACTTGCATGGCTTTTCTTCACTGGTACTTCGAAACATGTGCAGTTTCCTCTCGCCTTTCTCGTGTATCATCGTCCATGGTGGTGGTATGAATCGAGTATGATAACAAATTCAGAGCCCATTCCATTGTCCACGAATCGTTTCCATCTGCAAAAACAGCTGGTTAACGAGAACCAAAAATACTCTGCCAGTTTTTTAGGTGAGTTCACCAAAGAGTGCTCGCATTTGACTTCAACTCCGCTAAGTGTTCCACTTGTTCATTACCACTAACACTTCTCATTATACAAGCAGCACATCTACGTGTCGCTTTCAGTGACTATTCTCTTTCACTAAGATGGAATGGCCTTCTGAGTTCTGAACTGCATATTCCAGCTAGATGTTTTATGTGCTGCTTGTAGCTCAGAAGACATCATATAAACGCTCTTGCATGATGTGCAGAATTTTTGACTAAGCTGCAGTATCATTTCACGTCTTCCCTGCACAACTTAGCGCCGTGTGGACCACTCAATCGAGGCGTGTGCGGAGTTTCGGTTCCGTTAGTTGGGCGGTTACTTCTTATCCTTTCACGGCCACAGCCATGTTCGCATATTTCGCATACTCGTCGGACCTTGTGTCATTTGAGCGCAATCGGAGCACGCCTTGGTATCAAGATATGCGGTAGTGAAAAGGTTAACCGATAACGGACACACGGCGTTTAACGTTGCTCTTCGAATGGAATACCAGCAGTTTTCTTTGACTGCAGACTTTCTTGTTTATTGGCAATAAAAATTAATTTTTAAATGAAAAGAATGCTTTCTGATTTGTGAATATGACAGTGTTATGGAAGAGACTTTGATCGATCATTGTATGGGTATGAATGGTGTGTATGCTACCATTGAGCACATCTTGATGTGGTCCATTATGCAAATACATTGCTGTCAGCGCTTGGTTGTCATGTTCCGTGCAAAGACTGTAGTGATTACAATGAAATAACAGTTGATTTACCTTATTTCATTGATAAGCTAAGGCGAACTGGGTGAATAACTTTATTCGGCTAAAGTTTCAACGTCTTCGTCTTCCTCAAAGCCAATGATCCAACTCAATGGTCCACGGTCGTTCGTACTCTCGATGAGAAGTCTACGTCATCGTATTTAGTTGAATCATCTTCGGTGGAGCACCGCTGGAATGAGGCAACCTCAATCGGCGATTCCCTTTTGTACAGGACGGTTGTTGATGATACTGATTGTCCGTTAATAATAGTTTTTTTCAAAGTATGTATAGATTCCAGGATTGATTTTCTATTAGCCTCGGCAATGGATTATATATGCGTTGTTTTCTTTCTTAGCAACCGCGAGGTTGTTATACACCATACGTTTACTTCCACACAAAACCACGTACAGTAGAATAATCGCTGGTGTTTGGGCAGTATCGCCTTCTTCAAAGCCGTTTTTCCTCAGTGGAAGACCCATAAAAACGGCTCCGAAGAAGGCGACACTGCCGAAACGTTAGCGGCTGTTCTATTGTACGTGTTTTTATACGGAAGTAAATGTGTGGTGTATAACAACCTCGCGATTGCTGAGAAAGAAAACGGCGCATTTATCATTATAGAGACAAACAATCACTATCGTCCTGTACTAAAGAGCATTGCTGGATGAGCTTGCCTCAACTGAGCAGTCTGGCGCCGAAGAAGATTCAACTCGACACGACGACGAAGACGCCGCATCGAGAGTACGAACGACTGTGGACCATCGACGCGGATCGTTAGCTTTGAGGAAGACAAAGACGTCGAAACGTTAACCGAATAAATGTTTGGTAATAATCTCGTGTTAGCTTATCGAGGAAATAAGATTTATTAATCGTTCATACCAAAGTTAATGAAAGTCGGTTTACAATAGTGCAACAGTTAAGTGTTAGTAAAATTACCGTCCAATGAGCTTTTTCGGAAGATTGTTTTTGTAACTCGTTATATGTATTGCGTAACCACAGTGATGCTGAAATATTAGCAAAGTTTCGGACAGCAGGTGTCTGCGATGGAGATCAAACTCGCTATTATCCATTCCGGAGGTTAACACATTCACTGGTGCACTCACTACTGAGGTCCTTCGTTTCGGCTTTCTTTCAACCGTATTTTAATTTGTAGATGCTATTAAATAACCACAACGTTGCTGAGATATTTGCAAAACTCTGGACCGCAGGTGTCTATGGTGGGGAACGAACGCGCTATTGTTCTTTCCGGGGAGTAACGCGTTCACCACCACACCATGCGGGTCCTTTGTTTCGCCTGTCTCACCCCGCTGACGGCTGATTGCTGCGGCAAAAAGATCGATAGAAATAGCTGAGAGAAATAGTAACCTGCAATGAAAATTATAGAAGGCAGAAAACAAAACGTTAAGCATTGGTATTAAATAAGTCTATTCTTTGGTTTTTCTGGTTTCACCGCGGCTATTTTGATCGCTTTTCGATTAGCTATGGAATAAATGTGTATAGTGCGATAAAAAAATTCTTAACGCGCCAAACTGAAAATGAGCACTATGGTGTCCCTACAGGACATTACGAGTGTGGAGACCCAAAAAGATTTCTCGTTGCTGTCGTTTTTCTATACAACCATCATTCATCGTCCGAAGGCCGACTTTTGATTAACCTCGGTATTGATCAATAATTCGCTGTTTTTCTTCAATGAGCAAACACGACATTGATATTATAGCACTTATTAGCACACAATAGCTGACGTTTGGAAGGTTCAGCCTTTTGCAGAGCGTACTTTCATTACTATGCGAATGCCGTTTTATGTGTTAAGTCTTATCAGCTATGGTTATGAAAGCGTTTAGCTGAGTAGATTGCATGTAAATTTGACCCGTCCAAGCTCTGAATAAGAATCATCGAAACGTCGGCTATTGTGTGTTAATAAATGCTATAATATCAACCTCGTGTTTGCTCACCGAAGAAAAACAGCATCATTCACATTGTTCTTCGTGTTCACTGAACGCGTAAGACAGATGGTGTGCTTATTCAAGAAGCATTCCAATCAAATTTTTGACCTCGCTTGTTATTCGTCTCGACGTGGCAGCTTCGCCTTCGTGTCGAGTCAGGTCTCCTTCAGTGAGCCATCTCCTCGAATGAGGCATCCTTACTGATGCCCTTTTATACACGATGCTGATGGTGGATATAATGATAATGTCCGGTGATAACAACTTGTTTTTCTTCCGGACATAATCATCATATCCACCATCAGCATCGTGTATAAAAGGGCATCACTGAGTAAGGATGCCTCATTCGAGGAGATGGCTCACTGAAGGAGACCTGACTCGACACGAAGGCGAAGTTGCCACCACGTCGAGACGAACAACGTGCGGGGACCATCGACTCGGATTATCGGCTCTGAGGAAGACGAAGACGTCGAAACGTTAGCCGAAAACAAACATCATTATCAACCTCGTGTAAGCTCATCAAAGAAAGAATGCTATGTACTTATAGTAACTCCCAAGTCCGACTTTCTATTAACCCCGGCGTTGATTGAATATATCTTTCTACTTCTGTTCAGCAAACACGTGCTATTTTATTTCTTTATTTACGCACAAGCTGACGTTTCGGCGGATTTCGCCTTCCTCAGAGCCTGGAAGGGTCAAGTTGACAGCAATCCATTCGGCCAAACACCTCCATAACCAAACAGAGAAAACGCTAAACCAAGATTTCAATCACATTTAGCATAGCTCTGCACACTCACCGCTTTCTATGAGTCTTCCACTGAGTATGTCGCGTGAAGACCGACCGCACAGAATTCACATGGAAGCGTAATGTGCCCCTCCCATCAGAATAACAGGTTTATATACTGTCCAATATTGCGCGTGATAACGAGGCATTCCTCCCTGCGGTTCATTTTCGGATTCTTGGAATTTATCCAGAATGCCTCTAGAGTTTTGCGCGCTTGTGTTCTCGATTCTTGCGCAAGGATCGTAACCCTTACTTCAGAATCTTCTCCGTTATGTTTCTGCGTGCTATGCGTACCTAGTGGAGTACTTAGCTTACGTTTGTCGACTAGGTGTTCTTTTATACGTACGCAGAGTGGTCTACCCGTTTCGCCAACGTATTCGTCCCCGCACGCTTTACAAGAGATCAGATAAACTGTGCCCAAACTCATGCAGTCACCGTCTCTACCATTGGGCAAATTATGCAATTTTGCGTTGCACACAGACGGTCGTGTAGGCGGTTACGAACTAGCTGGCGCCTTAGATTATTCGGTGGTATTTCGATCGATTATCGTTACCGAATTCTCTAGACTGGCCCTTCTCAAACAGCGTGTTATAGCTGCACTTACTTCATTTGAAATAAAGGGCAGTACAAACGGGACCTTGTTGTCGCTAGAGATATCGTTGGGGTACCTGTGGTTTCCTCTACACCTATCTGGAGCTACGGTTTCGTAGCCATTAAATATGGCTATTTGCCGCGCCAAGTTCCGGGACT